ATATTGCAGTTCCAGGCAACTTGAGCAAAAAATTAGTGAGGCCCTGTCAACCAATAGCGGATTGCAGAGGTGGGTGCCTGTTATCCCAGCAACTGCAGGATTGTGGTCCAGTCTGGTCTGGTCAGAAAAGGAGACCCTATTTCCAAAATAGCCACAGCAAAAAGGGCTGGAAGCCTGATTCAGGCAGTAGAGCTCCTACCTAGTAAGCATGAAGCCAAAAAACAAAACAAAACAAAAAATTCAGCTTTAGAGGTTAGGGTCTTCTTAGATGTAGACTGCAAGTGTCTAAAAAGAGAAGGCAGGTGACATGTCTGTGAAGCAATAAAGGTAAAAACAGCCAGGCAAGGTGCTTAGACTTGGGTGGGGTACACAAGTACCACCTAGAAACTCTCCAAGTCAGGCAAAACAATTAGGCCTCATTCTGGTCAGGGATCATAGCTCTGGAATTAAGGATCCACACAGGGACATTAAATGGTTTGTGTTTGCTGAAGGTTTCCTGGGATGTGGGTGGTTCAAGGCTAACGCTGCATTTCTGGGCCATCAGGATGTCTGGGCAGCTTATATATAGTACACATTGTACATGTAAGCTTTTCTTATATTGGACTATTTAAACTAAATCTTAAAACAATGAGGAAGACTATTTGGATCAAATGACTTCACCTGTGAAAAGAAAAAGGAAGTGCATTATTTGTCCCTGAAAGTTTGCAGTTGTCAGTGGAGGAAGAATAGCCCTGATCACCACTCTGTTCTTCTGATAAGCAAAGCAGAACTTCAAACTTTATTTGAAGCATGACCCCTTTTCAGAAATTATAGGCATTGAATTTATTGCCAGCCTGTCATTGCTGTCCATCTGCTAATTCTGCACGTCAAAGGAGCAGCTGTCATTACAGAAAGGCTACAGTAGATAATAAAACAGGGTGAATTTCATCTTCAAATGCTTAAAACAAATCCTTGGAAGGAGCACCTCAGTTCCTCAGACTATGTGAGTTTTTGATATTATTAACATAAAACGCCAAATGGATTTGGAGATTGGAAGTAAATGGATTTGATTTAAAAAGAAAAATCTTCAAGTTAGGAGTTGGCCATACTGTAATAATCTGTCATAGCATAGATACAGGAACAACCAAAGCTATAGGCACATACAGAGGTACACTCAAAATCACAGCCATACATAGATCCCTGAATATAAAGGCAAGGATATGAGCTTCCAAAATCTACACAACCCATGGAGAAGAACAGATTCATGCCTCTATCCCTGCAAAACAAACAACAAGCAAACAAAACTTTCCCCAAACTAACAGCTTCCCTAACTTAATTTTTCCACTGGCCCAATTCTGTGTACTCAGATGAACTTAGATGTCTCCCCTTGGAACTGTTTAGTAGCCAAAATTCTAATCACAATATATATTGATTATTTATTTGCATGATTTTCTTACATTAATTCTTTTTTTGGTGGTTCTGGGTCTTAAACTCAGGGCCTTCTGCTGGTTAGGCAGGTGCTTTTCCACTTAAGTTACACCCTTGGCCCTTTTTTGCTTTAGTTATTTTTCAGATATGGTTTGTCTCAGGGCTGGCCTCATGCTGTGATCCTCATATCAATGGCTCCCACATAGCTGGGATGACAGGTTGTTGGTTGAGACAGGGGTCTCCCTAACTTTTTTCCCAGACTGGTCTTGAACCATGATCTTTCTGATCTCTGCCTCTTGGGTAGTTGAGATAATAGGGGTGTACCACTGCACCAGTACTTTTAGGTGAAGTTTTTTTCTGTTCAGTCCTACTGCCTCCACCCATAAGAGTGCACAAATCAAGTTAAAGCTGACTGCATCTTTTTCCCTCACCAAGATTCTTCTTTCTTCCATTCAACCTGCATAGAGTTGATTATTCTTCATAGGGAAACAGATTATAAGATAAGGAAACAATGATAATAGTCGAAGGTGTGCTTTGCATCCCTGAAGAGGTGGATATAGACATACCTGTGGATGACAGAGGAACTGTGGAAACAGTCATGGAGATAGGGAGAGACAGGCTAGCACAGGTCTTATTTCATTTAATCCTAAAAATAATCCTGGGAGACAACCAGACAAGTTGATACACACCTATAGTCCCAGCACGTTACAGGTTGAGGCAGGAGGATTGCAAATTGGAGGACAACCGTGGGCTACATAGTGAGCTTAGTGCCTGGGTTACACAGTGAGACCCTACCATCACCATTGTCACCATCACCATCATCACCATCATCTTGGGAATGTGTTAAACACATATTTTTTTTGCATATGAGAATATTTACTCCAAAAGATGCCCCCAAATCAAAGAGGCCTGGTGATAGAACTGGGAAGTAGAACCAAAAACTAAGGCTTCTTCTGGTTGCAACACAAAACTTAGTTTTCTCTATTTTGGAGAATTGCCATGTAGAATTATATTCCTGCTGTGTGGTAACCTGAGGTTTCTCCATGCAGATTTTGCTTCCAATCTTGGTCTCCATGGAGCATAGGGAAAGAAGAGGTAGATAGAGTTGGCAGAATTGCTGGCTACTACACACACATAATGGTTATATTTTCATTTACATAAGCAGGAGTGCTTTTTAAAGACCTCAAGTGATTTCATTGCAATGTTACAAAGAAAAAACAAACTGGGTTGTTGATGACAGAATCTAGGTCAAGACAAGGAGAATCACTGATCACCAGAATCAGAATCACTGATTAACAAAAAGGAATGCTGAGGCTTTGAATATGGAGCCTAAGAGACCTTGATTTGAGAAGAGAAATTAACTTAGACACAACCAGTGTTTTTAGGAACAAGTCAGGGATGACTTCCCTTTCCACTGCTATTAGCATAAAAGAATTGCTTCATATTTTGCCTTCACCCTTGGTTGCCAAACAAAAAATAGATAAATCCTATGTCAAGATGTCATTGTTATTTAAAAAAAAAAAAGGAAAGGAGCAGGACAGGGTGGGAGTGGGTGGAGAGGAATGAAAGGAACAAAGAAGTCAAAGACGAAAATGTACAAAACCTGCCATTTCTCAAGTCAAAATATCTTAAAGGTAAAACCAGGGTAGATGTTTAATCTAAAGATTTTCAGTTTCTAGTGAAGTCTATGAAGGCTGACAAGCAGCAGAAAAGCTAATATTTAAAGATAACTTCAGGAACATGGAGATGAAAAAGTGGTGAAAGGAAGAGGATGAACTTTCCTTCCACCTCCAGGATTTATTAAAAAACAGGATGGTTGTTTCAAAGACAGAAAACCTATCTGACTCTAAGTTATTTACTGGATACCAACTCTGACATGGTTCCAGTATTAGGGAAATCCTAATTTGATGGTGTATTAGTTACTTTTCTCATTGCTGTGATGAGATATCTGACAGAAACAACTTAAAGGAGGAAAATTTTATTTTGACCCACAGTTTTACAGTGTTCAGTCCATGGTGTTTTGACAGATGCTCTTGGGTAGAATATCAAGGCAACAGGAATATGTGGTCAATGACCTTTTTTCACATCAATGTGGACAGGAAGCAGAGGAAGGCAAAATACAGGAAGGGGCCAGGGCACGATGTAGCTCAAGGAGATGCCCCCAGTGTCCTTCAACGGCCCCACCTCCTAGTTTTCACCATCTCCCAACAATGCCATTGTATCATGAATATACCAAGGTATTAATCCATTGATTAGGCCAGAGACCTCAGGTTCTAATTGTCTCTGTGACTATTTTTCTTAATTTAATTAAGTTGACAATAAAGATTAACCATCATAGATGGTTAACCAAAGAGCTTTCCCCAGGAAGCTCCCAGTCTCCAAAGCAATAGGGAAGGCAAAAGAATGGGGGAAAAATGAAAAGAAAAAACTCTTCAAAGTGGTTTTATAGAACTCATGTTAAGGGACCTCAGGATGCTATTGCAACAAATAGATGTAAAATGCACTGAGCTAGATGAGCAGGGGATGTTTGGTGGAAGGGCTGATATCATGAAAGATGAATAGGTGGGAATGGAGGGAGAGGAGGGGGTCCTGGCAAACAGACAGCAGACACAATTTTCAGAGGAATCTGTGAGCAGTAGCATTGTGGAAGAACACAGGTAGATGGAGGAGAGGGTGCTGGCAGGGACACATGGTGGACCTACTGTACTACTCTCTCAATCTGTGGCACCTTTCTGGTAAACCCTTTTGGATAAATACCATCTTAGCTGGACTGCCTGGAACCTCCTCATGTATGGGCTATATTGGGTAATTTCAGTGATTTGGAGCTTTATAGGATGGCTCTTCTGGAAACTCTGCATCACCTATGCAAAATAACTTGGTACTTTTGAACTTGAAAATCTCCATTCCCCCAAAATAGGGGATGTTTGATTTTCAGCTGGTCCTATCTCTGATAGACCACGACAGTATCTTTAAGAAAACAACTCTGGCTCTCTAGGTAAATGTCAACCTTTCAAATCCTCCATATGGCTAGGGAGAGAGGCAATGTACTATGGGAAAACACATAAGGGGTGGAGGCCAACAGACCTGTGCTGGCAGCCTTTAGTCATGTGATCTTAGGTCATGTATTTAGTAATTTCTAAGCCTCAGTCTCTTCTTTGGATTGTAGTAATGTCTACCTTGCAGTTACTGGACCAGCTGGAAATATCAAATATAAAATATCCACCCTAATTGACTGAATTCAGCCTAATTATTTGTAGAATTGAAGGGCCTAGACAGTAATGTATTGAATTTGTACTTCATGGGTCTATACACCAGGGACCTGCATTTCCAAAGCTTCATCTTGAAACTCTGATAACCCAATATTAAGTCTAGCACAGTTTCTAGTTCTTTGGGGGAACTGTAATAACCAGGGCACTGGGAGCTTATTAAAGGACAGATTTACAGCTTTCTGGACATCTGGAACTGGTACCAACTGGGCAGAAGTCAAAAGGAAGTTGGGTTCATTAGTTTAATTGTTTGTCTTGCTGGGTTTTAATTTCTCCAGCTATTTTCTTCTAAATGTGTCTTTATTTGCTTGTTGTTTGTTGCTGCAGTCACAGATGCTCACTGAGAGGGGAGGATTTGAACAGACAGTGGCTGTCTCCCAGTGCTCATCTCCAGCCAACCATCTACCACGCCAAAGGACTCCTATACTACATGAGCAGCATTGGCCGGAAGCCCATAGTGAGTCACTTCCTTCTGTTTCCACCTTCTTGCCTGGTTCCTTCTACCCTCCAGCAGACAGATTATCTTCTGTCAAGGAAAGAATACTAGGCAGAGACCAGAGATAAGCATTAATGGGGAACATATACATTGCCATATCAAACTGCTACAAACTGGGTGGCTTTCAACCACAGAAAGTTATTATCTTACATTTCTGCAGACTAGAAGTGTGAATTCAAGGAGTTGGCCATTCTCATTCTATGGTTTTAGGGAAGAATGCCTCTTGCCTCTTCCAGCCTGTGGTGGCTTGTAGCAGCAGAATTCCAATCTATTTTTGGATTTGTACAAGGGAATCTTCCCTCTGTGCCTACCTGTGTCCATGGGTGTTGAACTCAGGACCTTGTGCTTGCTAGGAAACTGCTGTACCTCTGGAGCCATGTCCCTAGTCCTTTTGCTTTTAGTTTGTTTTTGCAGATAAGGTCTTGTGCTATTGCTTGGCCAGCCTCAGACTATGATCTTCCTAACTCTGCCTCCCAAGTAGCTGAGATTACAGGTTTCATATTTCCTTCTTCTTATAAGGGCTTTCATCATTGGATTAGGACCCACCCTAATTCAGTTTGGCCTTATCTTAGCTTTATTTCACTTACAAAGACTGTTTTCAAATAAGTTTACATTGGTAGACACAGGGATTAGAGCTTCAACTTCTTTTTATTGTGGGACACAATTCACACATACCAGGGGGAAATCATTTGTTTAGTACTTACCAGCGCAAAGCAGGCAAGAAATTTCATTTCATTCCATTTCTGTGTCTTTTTTTTTTAATGCTTTCCTTTTTTTCAATTATTGAACAAGAAAGAAAATGTACATGTTCATACTTATGTTGGATTAGTACTTACCAAATTCCAGAGATGATTTTGGCACTTTAAAAAGTACTTTCTTATCTAGGCTTTTCCCCAAGTCTCTAGTCTTATGCAATTGATGAAAAATAGACTATTTGCAACCAGACGCCTCAGCTGAAGATAAGAAAGATGCAATGGCAGGGGAGTAACCACAAGGAAATGTTCACTTATTGACTAGAAACTGTGAACATAGCTGCTCCTAAAACTGAATTTCCAAAACTCTGAATTTCCAAATTCAGAGTCCTTGTCTAACCTAAGAAACTCATGATGGAGAGCAGAAGCTATCCAATTGGTCAATACAATCATCTCCTTCTTCAACCACCCTTAAAGAATCTACTGTGATCAAAAGAGAGGCACATTCAATGACTGAAGAAAAAGTGGGTGAGTATGTAACATTAGCTCATTTAAATCTCAAAAGAGATCAACAGGTAAAGTGATTGCCATCAGGTCATTCAAAAGTGTTTGGCAGAGTTGAGATTCAGTGAGTATCCATCCTGCAACCCAATTGCTCTTCATTACTTCCTCACTGAGAGTGAGTGTTAGGGTTCCTGAGCCTATCCAGAAGTACTCTCAGAATGCAGAATAGCTTTCATATTCATAATTATAGTTTGTTAAACTGAAAAGATGCAGATTAGAGTCAGCAAAGGTACAAGGCACATAGAACAGAGTATAGAAGAGGCCAGATGCAAGTTACCAGGCACCCTGTTCAAGTGGAGTTATATGGACAGGGCTTAATTCTCTAGCAACCATGTAATTGCCAACCAGGTAAGTTCACCTGAATCTTGGTTTCCAGGGGCTTTTTAAAAAATATTATTTTAATTGTACCCATTAATGTGGTTTAGTGTAAGATACATGCATGCAATGTATAGTGATCAAACCAGGGTAGTTAGTATCCATCTCCTTGAAAATTAAAAAAAAATTTGATTATCATGTGTAAAAAGCCAAATAGCTCAAGTTTCTCTTATATGTGGATAATAAAAATCAGTCTGAATGTAAAATAGTGATTAATAAAGGATGGGGAGTGTTGGGGTAGGAAAGATAGAGAGGGTTTAGATAATGGGTACCAAAATAACAAGATAGGAGTAAGAATTTCCAGTGTTCTCCATCATAGTGGAATGACTGCAAGTACATGATAACCTATTATATATTTTACAATTACTTACTTAAAACTTGAAGGTTCCAAACACAATGTAGTGATAAGTAGATGGGAATTACCCTGAATTGATCAGTATGCATTGTATATATGCATTGAAGTATCACACTGTACACCATTAATAAGCCCAAGGTTTTTTTGGTGGTCAGTTATGTAGCCATGGACTGCCTCACATGGCTGATTATAGTTATTCAGTCTCCAGTCTCCTCTAGAGGTCAGTCTGACCTTATGGTCCAATACCTCCAACCCAAATCACAAGTCATACTGTTAGCTTCAAACATTTGGAGTGACCCAAGGGCCTTGCTAAAGAAAGACTGTCATCCAGCAGAATCTTCCAAGAGTGTGAAGTTTATCTCCCAAGAGTTAGTAAAGGTGCAAACCTTTCTTTGAAATCTGAGAGGTTTAATATCCCATATGTGCTGACTTGACTCATTTTTTACTCAGAAAACAAAGCACCTTTTTCCCCCTTAAAAATTCTGATTCAAGGACTGGACATGCTGACTTTCATCTATAATCCCAGCTACTTGGAATGAGGAGATAGGAGGATGGTGGTTCAAGGCTAGTCTGGGCAAAAAAGGTAACAAGATGTATTGTAAAGAATAAACTAGGCAAGGAGGTGAATGCCTGTAATTTCAGCTACATGGGAGGTGTAGGTAGGAGGATTGTGTTCTGAGATAGGCCCAGGCAAAAACATGAGGTCCTGTTTGAAAAATACCTAAAAACACAAAGGACTGGAGTCATGGTGGTTAAGTGGTAGAACACTTATTTAACAGCACAAAGCTCTGATTTTACACCCAGTACCACTAAAAAAAAAAAAAAAGTTCTGGGTTCTATAGTGGTTAAAATGTACAATATTGTTGTTTTGATCCTCCCCAACTTCATCCTAGAAGGCACTGTCATTTGTGTTGCCAACTCCCTGGAAGATCATGGCCTGTGTGGTAGGTCACCAATTTCAGAGAATGTCTGTCTCTATAAGAGGGATGCTTTAGTCTCTAGGAGGAGAGGGAGATTTAGAAGGAAAGAACTTGCTTTCTGATACACATTTAAACACACACATTAAACCCACAACAAGACAGGATTCCTTTCTGCTCTGACAATCTCTAATTGAAGAGCAGAACATTTATTTTAAAGCGTGACAGGTGAAAGGCTTGTTTAAAAATATAAATAAACATTAATTAGCTATAAACATGACAGCCACAGACTTGTTTCCTGCTGGGACCATCTGAGAGGTGGGTGAGAAACAGCTGAGTACTAAATGCTACTCGCAGTGATACAGAGCTTTCTGATGGGCTCAACATCACCTTTTTTACCTACAAGGCTAAATTTAACCAGCCTCCTGCTGGCTGCAGAAGCTATGCCACTCATTACGTACTTGGGCCTGGCCTATACAGGAAATTTTCTGTGTTCTGATTGACTGTTGTTCTTTATGGTTGGAAATTAATGGGTATTCTGCCCAACCTCTAACTCTTATGAAAATGTTTTCTATAGCACAGGAAAGCAACTTTATGGTGGCTGGGATGTTTCACCTCTTCTAAGTACTACTCAGATATTTATTGTCTATTGGTGAGTGAATTAATGTGAACTCCCGGGACCAATGACAATGTGGGACAGTAGAAGATAGCAGTACTGTGATACTAAAGAGGATTTGTAAAGACCAGACAAGTCATTTCGTTTATAGGCAATATTCGCAATTGTCTTATTCACTCTTCCACCCATATGTACATCCATATATATATCCATCCATCTATACTTCTTTCATTCATCATCCATCCTTTTATCTATCCTTTCAGCCATCTATCTACCCTTCCCTCTACCCACCATTCCATCTATGATTCCTTCCATCCATCCATCCATAATCTATGCATCCATCTACCTGCCCACCCATCTAGACAATCATTTCTTTGTCTATTCATTTACACCAAGTGATTGTCTTCATTGTGCTAGGTGCTAGGGATACAAAGTCATTTGAAAAAAAAAGATTATTTTTTTCTTTGAGTAACTCATAGTTTCCTTTGGTAGAAAGTGAAGTCTATTCTGCAATTAAACTAATGTGGTACAAAATAGTAAAAACTATAGCAAAGGCCCTTAGGAGGATTTATTGGAACACAAATGAGAAGTTGAGTCATTTTCTCTTAGAGCTATGGAAGGGCTGGAGAATTCCCTATGATTTTTATTCTAGTATATCAGATAAATATTATCTCCTCCAAGAGTCTTCTGGTATCACTATGGTCTTTCAGTCTTCTGCTTGTAACATTAGAAATCTAGTAAGTTTTCTATGCTTGGGGTTACTGCATAGGGCAAAGGAAAGAAGCTTACATTTTTCTGGTAGCAAAGACTCACCCAATATCACACAGTCCTTCTAGTAACCATTTCTCATTTTCTCAAACTCAGATTGTCCATCTTTCTTATTTGATAGAGAGTCTAGATGTTAGATCCAAAAGCCCAGACATATGGCAAATTTTAATGTCTTCATGCATTAGGATATTATTCAGTCACCAAAATCAGAATTCAAAAATGAAAGAAAACAAACAAAAAACAATGATTCACTCAATAATATGAATGGATTTCAGAAGTATTATGTTCAGTGAAAGAAACTGAACACTAAAGACTACATGCTCTGTGCTTGCATTTATGTAAAATTCAAGATCAGTAAAAGTAATTTAGGAAGACAGAAATTAGAGTTGTGTTTTCCTTTAGAGAATGGATAATAGAGGTCATGAGAGAACTTTCTAGGCTAGTGGAAATATTCTATACATGAACAAAGAGTCAGTTATACCAAAACCCATTGAACTGTATATTCAAGATCTGTTTTTTACTATAGATATACATTTATCCAAATATTGAAAATTAAAAATAAATAGAGCAAAGTGAGACTACAGAGCTTTAAAATGTAACTAGGAGACAAATGAGGCTGTACGTACTGAGACTTATCAGCCTAGAGGCATGCAAGTCAAGTCAAGGAAGACATT